ATCCTGCCAGGACCCAGCCCAGTACAAAACCTGTTTGAGAATTAGTGGGGGAGGGCGGTCGCGCTTGAGTTGAGCGAGTAGGGTTTCAGGGTTTAGGGCTGAAGGCTGACAGGATTATTAGGATTCAGGGCTCAGGGCTTATAGGGTTTAATTAGGGTATATGCTTTGGGGTTTTATTAGGATTTAAACCCACCCCTAATTTTAAATATTTTTCGGGCCCAGGCGAATTTCAGAACTAGGGAGGGGGGGGATTTAGTATTAGGGGGAAAGGATTACTGTCCATGTCGTGATAATTTAATAGGATTCTCGTGACTATTGCGTCATCCAGGTTTAGGGTTTCGGGTTTGGGGTTTAGGGTTTAGGGTTCAGGTTTTAGGGTTGAAGTTCGGCCAGCCTGGGCAGGCTGCTGAGCCGTCGCTTCTTCGCGTCGTGACGCGCGATGTAGCCACTGGCCCCCGCCAGGAAGGATGAGCACCGTGTGTCGCTAGGTCTTAGGTGGCTGGCTGCAGGTGCGACCGGCTGGTTGTGGGCACGGGGTCCCGGAGGTGGAAGCCCGTGTTCCAAGCCGACGCATCGTGCGTAGTCCCGTCCGGTTCAAACTCCATTGGTGTAGGGTTTAGGGTTTAGGGTTTAGGGCTTAGGGTTTAGGGTCTGGATTTTAGGGGTTGGGGTTTACGCCTTAGGGCTTAGGTTTCGGGTTTAGAGTTTTAATTATTGTTGTAGGACACAGCCCACCTAGGGCTTTACAGCCCATTTCTCCTAGGGCTACACAGCCCAACTAGGGCTATACAGCCCGGTCTAGGGCTATACAGCCCATTTGTCCTAGGGCTACACAGCCCAACTAGGACTACACAGCCCGGCTTAGGACTTTACAGCCCAGGTTCCTAGGGCTACTAGGGCTTTACAGCCCATTGTCGTAGGGCTACACAGCCCAGCCTAGGGCTTAGGCTTTAGGGTTTGGAAGTTAGGGTGAATTTGGGGTTCAGGGTTTGAGGTTAGGCTTCAGGGTTTATAATCAGTTTAGGATTCAGGTGAGGGGGGGGGGGTGTAACTGTATCATTGTGAGTGCCCTAGGCCAAATCGATGCCTTAGCCAATTAAAACCACAAGAAAGAGGAATAAGACCCATACCCTAAACCGAAAAAAAAACCAACTCCTTGGACCCCTTACACCCCTTTTAAACCCTAAGCTGTCAGGCCTCTTTAAACACGACACCCTCAACCCGCGACTGTTAATCCTCAACCCCAAACCCTAAACTCTGAACCTTTAAACCCTAAACCCTAAACCTGAAATTCGAAACCCTAAGCCCTAGGCTGGGCTGTATAATTTGGGCTGTGAATGCCTAACACGACTATTTCGGGCTGTGAAGCCGTAGGTTGGGCTGCATAACCCCAAGACAATTTCATTGTGTAGTTTAGCCCCAGACTACTCAACCCTCAACTGCCAACCCGCAAACCCAGTGGGACCCGGGCAGGCGTCCAAAGCGAAGTGAACTCAACCGACAGCTGTAGAAGCCACCTGGGCAACACGAAACCGTGAGCTATCGATGCCCAGGGCTACACAGCCCAGCTAGGGCTATACTCAGCCCGGCCTGGGGCTATACAGCCCATGTTTTAGGATTACGCAGCCCAATTAGGGCTATACAGCCGGGTTTAGGGTTCAGGGTTTAGGGTCTAGGGCTACACAGCCCAACTAGGGCTATACAGCCCAGTCAAAGGTGGTCCAAGTCAAGGGGGCATGGGTTAGGTTCAGAGTAGGGGGTTTGTCGTTTATATTTGACACCGTCTAATGAATCACCACAACACCCATGTCCTAACCCATTCTCCTCAAAACTTTTTTTGCAATCTTAAAGTCTTAGGGTCCTAGGGCTATACAGCCCAGAAAGTCCTAGGGCTGTACAGCCCATGACCCTCAAAACCCTAAGATCTTAGGGTCCTAGGTCCTAGGGCTATACAGCCCAGAAAGCCCTCAGGGTTAAGGCTATACAGCCCATTTGTCCTAGGGCTACACAGCCCAACCTCCTAAGCCTAGGGCTACACAGCCCGGTTTAGGGTTTCAGGCTTTAGGGCAGTTTAGGGTTTAGGGCTTAGGGTTTAGGGTTTCAGGGTTTAGGGTTTCAAGCTTTAGGGTTTAGGGGTCCCATTGTCCTCGCGCAGTGCAGTGTGCGTGGGGGGGGGGGGGGAAAGGAAGGGAGGGGGGATGGGAGTGGGTCAAAAATGAATGGTGGGCGGTGGCAGGGGTGTGAGAAACACACTGCGAGAGTTATTTGTTCACAGGACAGCAGGGTGGCCCCACAAAAGAGATAATTCAGGCTAGTTTTGTCAGGGCGGAGACCGACAAAAAAGATAACACAAACAAATCGCCAGAGTTTTCTGAGGGCGGAGACACAAAAGAGGCTTAAACAAAAAACCACGAGAGTTCTGTCAGGGCGGAGACCCACAAAAAATCCTTTAAAAACATCGCGAGAGTTTTGTCGGGGCGGAGACCCACAGAAAAGGCTCAAAAGAACAACAAAGTCGCGAGAGTTTTCAGGGTGGAGACCCGCAATATAAACCTTAAAACAAACACCTCGAGATTTTCGTCCGGGCCAAGACCCACAAAAAAGGCATAACAAAAAATGGCAAGAGTTTTCAATTTTCAGGGCGCAAAAAACTCGCGAGAGTTTTGCCAGGGCACCCGCAGAACATGCGTTAAACAAATCGCGAGAGTTTCGTCAGGGCGGAGACCCACATAGGTTTTAAAACCAATTGAGACGTTCAAAAAAGACTTGAAAAAAGCGCGAGAGTTGTCTAGTCGGAAACCCGCAACCCAGAAAAAAGGCTTTCAAAAAAAAAATCGCGAGAGTTTTGTCAGGGCAGAGACCCACAGAAGATGCTTCAAAAAACAAACCCCGAGAGTTTTGTCAGGGCGGAGACCCACAGAGGATGCTTTAAAAAACTCGCGAGAGGTTTGTCAGGCGGAGACCCACCAAAAAAGGCTTTCAAACAAAAATCGCGAGTGTTTTGTCAGGGCGGAGACCCACAAAAAAGGCTTTCAAACAAAAATCGCGAGAGTTTGGTCAGGGCGGGGACCCACAGAAAATGCTTTAACACCAAATCACGAGAGTTTGGCCAGGGCGGAGACCCACAGAAAATGCTTCAAGCAAAAATCGCGAGAGAAGATGTTTAAAGGAATTCGCGAGAGTTTTGTCAGGGTGGAAACTCACAAACGGCTTTCAAACAAAAATCGCGAGTGTTTTGTCAGGACGGGGACCCACAAAAAAGGCTTTCAAACAAAAATCGCGAGAGTTTGGTCAGGGCGGGGACCCACAGAAAATGCTTTAAACAACAAATCACGAGAGTTTGGTCAGGGCGGAAACCCACAGAAATAGCTTTAAACAAAATTCGTGAGAGAAGATGCTTTTTAAAAAATCGCGAGAGTTTGGTCAGGGCGGAGACCCACAGAAGATGCTTGTAAAAAATCGCGAGAGTTTTGTCAGGGCGGATACCCAAAAAAAGGCTTTAAAAAACATCCTGAGCCCGGCCTAGGCCTTAGGGCTATACAGCCCATTTGTCCTAGGGCTACACAGCCCAACTAGGGCTATACAGCCCGGCCTAGGGCTATACAGCCCTTTGTCCTAGGGCTACACAGCCCAATTTGGGCTATACAGCCCGGCCTAGGGCTATACAGCCCATTTGTCCTAGGGCTACACAGCCCAATTTGGACTATACAGCCCTGCCTAGGGCTATACAGCCCATTTGTCCTAGGGCTACACAGCCCAATTAGGGCTATACAGCCCGGCCTAGGGCTATACAGCCCATTTGTCCTAGGGCTACACAGCCCAATTTGGGCTATACAGCCCTGCCTAGGGCTATACAGCCCATTTGTCCTAGGGCGACACAGACACAGCCCTAGGGCTATACAGCCCGGCCTAGGGCTATACAGCTAGGGCTACACAGCCCGGCCTAGGGCTATACAGCCCGGCCTAGGGCTATACAGCCCATTTGTTTAGGGTTTAGGGTTTAGGGTTTAGGGTTTAGGGTTTTGGGTTTAGGGTCTAGGGCTACACAGCACAACTAAGGCTTTACAGCCCGCCGGCCTAGGGCTATACAGCCCAATGTCCTAGGACTACACAGCCCAATTAGGGCTACACAGCCCGGTTTAGGGTTTCAGGGTTTAGGGCAGGGTTTAGGGCTTAGGGTTTAGGGTTTAGGGTTTAGGGTCCTATTGTCCTCGCGGCTGGGTTTTTCAGTAACCTAGGAGAAAAAAGGTCACCCTTTTTGGCTTATAGGGGTTTGTATGGGATAAGAACCCAATAGAAAGTGAATAAGGGCACTACTGGGCATCCAAAACAGTGTGTGTTGGGGGGCGGGGGGAGAGGGGGAGAGGGGGAGAGGGGAGGAGGGGGGAGGGGGAAGGGGAAGGGTCGGGCAGGGGTAAGGACCTAAGTAAGGGAACCCTTCACAGACCCTCTGGGGCCCCCGGCATGGTGGCTGGCTGTGGTCGACAGCGCCAGGCACATACGCCGGGCATTTTAGGGTCGTTCAGGGTTTAGGGTTCAGGGTTTTGGGTTTGGGGATTGGAGTCTGGGGATTTCTCTTTCTGAAAACAAAAAAGGCTTTTGTTCTTGGTTCGAAACGATTTTGATAGTTGGCACCACTTGGAGCAAAATGTTTTTTGGTTGGCAGTTCTGCTTTTTTTCATTGTTGGCACTACTTGAAGCAACACATCTAAATTTAGAATTTGCACACACACACACACACACGCTGTGTAATTTAAATGTATTCGTCCAAACATATTCAATCTATGCCATACTCTGTGGCACAGCCACAGACCCTGCAAAGGTCACCTTTGCCTAGGGTCACCTTTGGTAGTCTCCGAGTTTAGGGTTTGGGCAGGGTTTAGACGGTTTAGGGTTTAGGGCTTAGGGTGTAGGGGTAGGATTTATAGGGTTTGTTGGGCTTAGGGTTCGGTCGTTTTGGGATTCGGGCCAAAACCCTGGCCCAAAACCCGAAACCCGACCTTGGCGGCTTTTTCAAAGCCCAGTGTAGCCGTGGTGGTTGTTGTCGTTATCTTCCTTGCTCCGGTCTCCTTGGCTTAGGGTTGAGGGTTTAGGGTTTAGGGTTTGTTGGGTTTTTCATGGCCCCGCCCCCCCCCCCCCCCCCCCCCCCCCCCCCACGCCCACCTACCCTTGAGCAGGCACGAAGGGTTCTGGAGGGCTTCTATGAGGGGCATAGTCCTAAACCCCAAACCCTGAACCCAGAAGGGGCCTAGATTTGGTCCCTTTCAAAGAAGCAGCACCAGGGGAAGGCTGGTTCTCTCCTAGAGCTCGGTCTAGTGATTCAGGAATTTAGGGTTTAGGGTTTAGGGTTTAGGGTTAGGAACTCAGGGGCTTTAGGGTTTAGGGTTTAGGGTTTAGGATTTAGGGCGTGGGAGCACCTGGACAAGCCCTTGGTGGATGTTGAGGACTGGGGGTCCATCCCCACACCCAGCCTCAATCCCCACCACATCCTGAACTTCCAGCCCTGAACTTGTACCCAAACCCTAAACCCTAAACCCTAAACCCTAAACCCTAAACCCTAAACCCTAAACCCTAAACCCTAAACCCTAAACCCTAAACCCTAAACCCTAAACCCTAAAACCCTAAAACCCTAAACCCTAAACCCTAAACCCTAAACCCTAAACCCTAAACCCTGAACTTGTAAGAAGGGCCTGGGGGTCAGGGTTTAGGATTTAAGGGGTGCACGCACTAGCCTGCGTAGGAACAAACAAACTACTGTTTTTGTTAGCTTGAGTTGGTGCAAAAGTAACGGAACACATAAATATGTGCGATCTTGAAACACTCAGTAACTTTCTGCAAGGGGGGGCCCTTAACCCCTCAGCCCTAAACCTTGCAAACCGGAACCCTAACCCTAAGCCCCCTAAGCCCCAATAGGGTTTGGGGTTTGGGGTTTGGGGTTTGGGGTTTGGGGTTTAGGGTTTAGGGTTTAGGGTTTAGGGTTAGGATTTCGGGATACAGGCTCAGGGTCTTCTTTTGGCACTTGGGACTTTCAGCCGAACATGGGTGCTTGGAAGTGCGATTGTGAGTCCCGAACCCCTAACCTTGTATCCCTTTGTAAAGCAAATATCCCCTAAACCCTAAACCCTAAACCCTAAACCCTAAACCCTAAACCCTAAACCCTAAACCCTAAACCCTAAACCCCCCCACACCCCACCCCCCGCCCCTAACCCCATGAACCTTTCAAGTCAGCCCCGGCCAACACGAAGCCCAGACTCGAAGGCGGGCTTTGGGGTGACCTTCGCCTCCCGGTCTCGAGTTTGGGATTAGGGTTTGGGGTTTAGGGTTTGGGGTTTGGGGCTTAGGGTTAGCCTGACCAAAAGTGTTCCCGATGGTGTCGGCAAAGCACTGAATCCTAAACAGCCCTCAAACCTTGGGATGTTCACCCTTGTACTAACAGTCCATAATAGGGATTATCGTAGCCTCCTATGATAATCCCTACTCAGGACTGTTAGTATAAGGGGGGAACATCCCAACTCAAACTTCTTTAAACACTTCAGTATTCTGACGCCAAGCCCTACAAACATCTGTATCCTACAGAACCAAACAACACTTCAGCCGCCAACCTGAGACAAGGCTTCATCCTGATTTCAGAATTCAGGCACGGCCCACCTCATCCCCGAGTAAGAAACTCAACCCTAAACCCAAAGCCCTAAACCCTAAACCCTAAGCCCTAAGACTTGCAAGACCTCTTGACTTAGTATGTAGGGCCGGTCAGGTGGGTTACAGGATGCATTATGATTCATCGGGCTTCTCGGGGATACTAAGTAGACTTACTAAGTCTAAACCCCAAACCCTAAACCCAAACCCTAAACCCTAAACACGAAACCCGAAACCCGAAACCCTAAACCCTCGACCCTAGACCCTAGACCCTAAAACCTAAAACCTAAAACCTAAGCCTATGCATGCCCTCGAACTTGCCCAGGAGAGAACCGTAGTATAATTAGGGCGGCTTGCTTTGGCCCTCGGAGCTAGATAGGGGGCTACTAAGGTATAATTGGGCTTAGGGTTTAAAACTTAGGATTTAGGGTTTCGGGTTTAGGACTCAGTGGTCGTTTGGGAACAGGTATGTTGATCAACTGCCATGCATAAGGACAATGAAAAGCGGCAGGTGTTTTAGAGGGGTTAGTAGTAGCGGGATCAAGGCTTAGGGTTCATGGGTAGCATTAGGTTTTGAATATCGGTTGCCATACTTGAAACCCTAAACCCTACACCCGAACCCTAAACCCTAAACACCAAAAAATCCTAGAAACTCTAAAGAGCCGAAAGCCCCACGCCCCGAAACCCTGGCACCTCCTTCCGTGACGTCGCTGTGGTGGTGGAGGTGGAGGCCGCTGAGGTGGTGTCCTCTGCCTTCTGAAAGGGAGACTCTTGCAGAGGGGCCCTAAACCCTAAACCCTAAACCCTAAACCCTAAACCCTAAACCCTAAACCCTAAACCCTAAACCCTAAGCCTCAACCCTAATTAACCCTAAACCCTCAACCCTCAACCCTAGCCTCATCGGCCGGCATGTCGTCGTCCTCCCTCTCCTCCTGAGGCGCAGGCTGCATTTTGTAGGCTTCTGGGCCCTGAAATGTGTGAAGCTGGCCCTCAAACTTATTCTGGACTTCTACAGTTCAGGGTTCCGGGTTCAGGGTTCAGGGTTTAGGGTTCAGGGTTTAGGGTGGAGGTTCTTGGGCTCTCAGTGCTCCTTTTTTTGGTTTAGGGTTAGGGTTTAGGGTTTAACCACCAGTCTCCTCCCAGGCGGTAGTCGTGGTCGTGGCCGCCCGCGTGGACGTTGCAGCTTTCTTCGCAGGGCGCCTCAAACCCTAAACCCTAAACCCTAAACCCTTAGCCCTAAACCCTAAACCCTAAAACCTAACTCCTAAACCCTAAACCCTAAACCCTAAACCCTAAACCCTAAACCCTACATCCTGCGCCCTACATAAAACCTAAACCCTAAACAGCAAATTCACCCGCTACTCCTCCGACACTCCCCTGCCCAAGGACTGCTTTTTTGGAATCCTCGAAGGCATCTACTAGACCCAAAAGTAACCTAGGAAAACAAAGGTACGTACATTTTTTGTTTTAAAGAGGTTTACAAGGGAACCTAAGCCCAAAAACAAGGCAGTAAGGGCCTACTCTGGGTCCTAGTCTATGCCTTCTGACGGCTAGTTCTGAAACGAGGAGCCAGCGCCAAACTAAACTGTCTAGGCGCCGAGCTTACACTTGCCCCCAAAAAACTCCCAAACCCTAAACCCTAAACCCTAAACCCTAAACCCTAAACCCTGAACCCTAAACCCTAAACCCTAAACCCTAAACCCTAAACCCTAAACCCTAAACCCTAAACCCTAAACCCTAAACCCTAAACCCTAAACCCTAAACCCTAAACCCTAAACCCTAAACCCTAAACCCTAAACCCTACCCCCTAAGCCCCTAAGCCCCTAAGCCCCTAAGCCCCTAAGCCCCTAAGCCCCTAAGCCCCTAAACCCTAAACCCCTAAACCCTAAACCCTAAACCCTAAACCCCTACACCCTAAAGATGCCTGCCACGGAGCCCTGATTTTGCAGAGCTTCTGTCCTCGCTCCGTGTTGAAGCGCTTCCTGGGTGGTGTAAGGGCTGGGGTTTAGGGGTTGGGGCCTAAGCCCTAAACCCTAAACCCTAAACCCTAAACCCTAAACCCTTAGGGCCTTGGAAGCGAGGCTTAGTGCTCCAAACTATCAACCCTAAGCAGGCCTCTTTTGGGACGGTGCTTGTTAGTGATCCGGGGGGTTTAGAGCCAAGTCTTCGGGTATTCTGCGTTGTGAGCTCAAAGAGTTTCAGGTGCTCAGTTCTCTCCAGTTTTGGAGGCATCTTTTTCCCTAGGGTTTAGGGTTTAGGGCTTAGGGCTTAGGGTTTAGGGTTCAGGGTTTAGGGTTTGGGGTTTAAAAAGGGTTTTGGAATAGACCCTGGAAAAAAGTATACTGTTTAGGTATAAGTAGCTATAGTAGAACCCAGAACCAAAAAAAGTACAGCACTCCAAACTCCAGTTATCGGACCCTGTAAACTCGAATCCTTATTCCTAAAATTGGGCCGGAGCAGCGCACCCTGACATTCTCTAGTTTCTGGGGAAACCATGTTCCCTAAACCCTAAACTCTAAACCCTAAACCCTAAACCGTAAACCATGTTTCTGCAGGATTCCTGCGGAGTCTTCCATCATACTGTAAACCCTATAAACCCTTCAACCCCTATCTGTTTTGGGGGTCTGCACCCTAACCCCTGAACCATAAACCCCAAATCCTAAGCCTCCCCCAGTTGTACCCCTATATAGGCAAAGGCACAGGGACCTCCTGGGAGGTTCGGGTCTAGGGTTTAGGGTTTAGGGTTTAGGGTTTAGGGTTTAGGGTTTAGGGTTTAGGGTTTAGGGTTTAGGGTTTAGGGTTTAGGGTTTAGGGTTTTAGTGTTTAGGGTTTAGGGTTTAGGGTTTAGGGTTTAGGGTTTAGGGTTTAGGGTTTAGGGTTTAGGGTTTAGGGTTTAGGGTCTAGGGTCTAGGGTCCAGGGTCTAGGGTTTAGGGTTTAGGGTGCTTACAACCCCACGATAACTGTACTTATAAGCCCCCTAAGTCCTTTGTTCTGCCTTGACTTCTGCCTTATGGGTACTACCAAGACAAAGCCCCCAAAGACTTCTCCAAGTAGGCTATAAGTGGACTGCTTATTGGGGTTAAAAGTACCCATGAACCTCCCAGTATTGGCTGTTTTCTCGGAATCGGGGCACAGCCCTCCTGAACGGGTACCTACCGTTGGGAAGCTGAAGCCCTAAAGTGCCATTCAACCCGAAGCCCCTCATCGCCTAAACAATATATTCTGGAACCATATAGAAAGTCATGGGCACATGTGCTACCCTAAACTTTGAGGAAAGTTAGTATAAACAAAGAAACGAGGAAACCCTCAACCCATTTTGCTACCCTAAACTATAAGGAACATGATTGCCAAAAAAACAAGAACCCTAAACCCTAAAGACCACAAGATGTTGTTGAACCACCCGAACCTCCACCGCGCAGTCTCAAGATTCCAGCACTAAACTAAATCCTAAACCCCAAACCCCACACCCTAAAACCTAAACCCTAAACACTAAACCCTAAACCCTAAAACCCAAAGCAGTCTCAAGATTCCAGAAGAAGTGCTGCGACTCGGTGGACCAGTTGTGCTACCCGAGGCTTTGGGAGCCTCGTTTTTGTTGGGGTGTGGTTTAGGGTTTAGGGTTTAGGGTTTGGGGTTTAGGGTTTAGGGTTTAGGGTTTAGGGTTTAGGGTTTAGGGTTTAGGGTGCAGGGTGCAGGGTTGAAGGATTCGGGGCTTTGGGGGTTAGGGGCTTTCGGGCTGGGGGTGTTTTCGGGAGTTTAGGGGTTTCAGGGGTTGTTAGAGGTCTTTAGGGTTTAACCCTAAACCCTAAACCCTAAACCCTAAACCCTAAACCCTAAACCCTAAACCCTAAACCCTAAACCCTAAACCCTAAACCCTAAACAGAGGTCTTTAGGGTTTAGGGCGGCAAGGGTCGACAGCCAAGCTCCTCAACCCGAAACAGAACAGAAGGCCGGCCCTGCAAGCCCTCCACCTAGGGTTTAGGGTTTAGGGTTTAGGGTTTAGGGTTTAGGGTTTAGGGTTTAGGGTTTAGGGTTTAGGGTTTAGGGTTAGGGTTTAGGGTTTAGGGTTAGGGTTTAGGGTTTAGGGTTTAGGGTATACTTGCCTTTTAGGGATTTAGGGTTTTTGGGCTTGAGGATCTTACGAAACCCAAAGCCCGAAAGCCGAAACTCGAAACCCTAGACCCTGGACCCTAAACCCTAAACCCTAGACCCTAGACCCTAGACCCTAAACAATAGACCCTAAACCCTAAATGCTAAACCTAAACCCTAAACCCTAAACCCTAAACCCTCAACCCTAAACACTAAACCCAAAACCCTGAACCCTAAACCCTAAACCGCAACCCTAAAGGGTTCGGGTTCGGGTTTAGGTTTTTAGGTTTAGAGTTTAAGGTTTCGGGCAAGGGATAAGGTTCAGGATCCAGTGTTTCGGGGAAGCTCATCTTGAAGGCTTACACCTTCCATCATCCAAACAGCTACGCCCAAAACCCTAAACCCTAAAGCCCTAAACCTAAAGCTACGGTCAAGGGTCCGTTCTTAAAGGGTTCCTCCTAATATCCCTCTGCGTCCCATCCCCTTTCTCTCTCGCCCAAACCCCTAAATCCGTAATCCCACAACTCCTGAACCCCGAAACCCTATATAAGCCACCAATCTTGAGCCCAAACCTCAAAAAACCTGACCCTAAACCCTAAACCCTAAACCCTAAACCCTAAACCCTAAACCCTAAACCCTAAACCCTAAACCCTAAACCCTAAACCCTAAACCCTAAACCGTAACCATAGTTCGATGAGCTCTATCACAAGAACAAACATACATCACAACCTCGGCCCTAGCACCCTTAATCCCCCCCCAAAAAACTGCAAGCCCCAACTTCTACCTATTTCAATATCAATATCAATATCTGCATCTATATATATATATATATATATATGCATACATGTACAATCACAGATACGTATATGTATATGTATATGTACATGTACATGTACATATACATGTACATGTACATGTATATGTGTATGTATATATGTGTATGTATATATGTATATGTCTATGTACATGTATATGTATATGCATATGTATATACACCACAATATAACATCCCAATACCTGCAGCTTCGGGCGCTCGTCTCCTCCTGGCGCGCCCTGGGCGCCCCTTGCGCGGGGCCGATCGGGTCTGGGCGTCTTGGGACCTTGGCGGCAGAGTCTTTTAAGGGTTTTGTTGGGGTTTAGGGTTTAGGGTTTAGGATTTAGGGTTTAGAGTTTAGGGTTTAGGGCTTAGGGTTCATTGAGGAGCTTTGGGCATTTAGGGTTTTTTAGGAAACATAGTGAGGGTTTTTTCTGGGGTTTATAGGGTTTACAGGATTTGTGGTGGGTGTATTGAGGGTGTATCGGGTGTCTAGGGCTGACAGGGTTTACAGGGATTGGGGTCTTAGGGCTTATTTCGGGCTTAAAGCTCAGGATGGCATTTAGGGTTTGGGGTGTAGGGTTTATTGACGGTGGACAGGCGGGTTTAGGGTTTGGGGTGGCTTTGGGGTGCAGGGCGTACGGCTTCGGGTTTCGGGTACAGATGCTCCCCAAACCCTACGCAATGCTAAGCCATACACCGACACCCCAAATCCTGAACCCTGAACCCCAAAACCTAACTCCTAAACCCGGAACCCCATTATCTACACCATAACCCCTAAAACCTGAATCACGATCCTGAAAAAAAACCCTAAACCCTAAACCCTGAACCCTAAACAGCCGCGGACCGAGACCCTAAACCCTAAACCCTAAACCCTAGAACCCACTTCAGATACTGGCTTCAACGAGAGATTCTATGGCGCTACGATAGAGGTCTTTACTCTCTCCTGGATAAAAAGTTCAACCCTCAAGCCTCAACCCTAAACCCTAAAACCCTAAACCCTAAGCTAAACCCCTAAAACCTTAAAACCCTAAAACCCTGAAACCCTAAAACCCTAAAACCCTAAAACCCTAAAACCCTAAACCCTAAAACCCTAAGACTCAAACCCTGCCGGTAGCCGCAATATGAAGTAGGGTTCATATTTCTTGTACCCCCAAAAGGACACCCAAGGTATCCACTCTATTACAAAGGAACCTTATATACACTCACTAAAAGCATCAATATAAACCCTAAACCCTAAACCCTAAACCCTATACCCTAAACCCTAAACCCTAAACCCTAAACCCTAAACCTGCTTCATATGAAGCCGGGGAGCCCGGTGTCTGCATCCTCCTCTCCATCCTCGGCCTGTAGGATACAAGGGTAGGAGTGGACCCTGTGGAGGGTAAGGGGTTTCCTAAACCTTAAACCTTAAACCCTAAACCCTATCCCTAAACCCTAACCCTAAACCCCAAACCCTAAACGCCAAACGCTAATCCGAAGGGTTTAGGGTCTAGGCTTCAGGAGGGCCAGAAGGAACCACACACCCCCTCGACGGCCGAAACGCAACGCCAAGGCAACAACGCCCCACATGGCGCCTAGGTCAGGGCTTACAGGTTTTTGGGCTTAGGGTTTAGGGTTTAGGGTTTTAGGAGGGCTTGGGATGGAATCAAGAGCCCCCACCCCGCCCGCCATTACCAGAGGGCTAACCTAGACCCTAAGCCCTATAGACCCTAAACCCTAAACCCTAAGCCCTAGACCCCTAAACCCTCTAGACCCTAAACCCTAAACCCTAGACCCTAGACCCCTAAACCCTAAGCCCTAACCCCTAGACCCCCTGAAACCTAAACCCTGTGTAGACCTTAATCACTTTGTGAGCACAAACGTGGCCAGGGTGAAATTCGACACATGCCCCATCTGCGTTAGGGTGGCAGGGTTTGGGGTTTAAGGTTCAGGGTTTAGGGTTTAGGGTTTAGGGTACTTGGAGGTTCATGCTACTTTCTAGCCAAATAATCAATGCACTTATCGCCCAACTATAATTAGAACCATATTGGGGTGATTAAAGGGCTTCAATAAGTGGGTGAAAAGTATAGTTATAATCGGTTATTAAGTACCAGGAACCTCCAAGTAGGGTTTAGGGTTTAGGGTTTTAGGGTTTAGGGTTTAGGGTTGAGGGTTGCGGGTTTAGGGTGAGCTGGTGGCATGAAGCCGTTTGCGTGACTCAACACTTTGCTTGTGCTGGAGGCGTGTCGTACTGGATCCAAAGCCTCAGGTATCTCCCAAAGCCTCCATGACTTTCCTCTCCAATACTCAAGGGAATAAGAAATGCTTAGGGTTTAGGGTTTAGGGTTTAGCGTTTAGGGTTTAGGGTCTAGGGTTTAGATTCACTCCCTACAAAATAAGGAAAGCCGAAAAGTTAAAAGCTCATCGATTGGCTAAGTAAGATGAGGGTCCTTAGCTACATCCCCTTGAGGGCTGTGGGTGGGGGGGGGGGGGGGGGGTAGGGGGGGGGGGGTAACGGTTTTATTTCGGGCTCTTTATAAGTTTAGGGTTTAGGATTTAGGGTTTAGGGTTTAGAGTTTAGGGCCTAGGGTCTCGGGTCTAGGGTTTAGAGCCCCCCCTCTCTTCCCCTTCCACCTCGCTAGAGAAACCTATGGGTATGGCTTTCGAAGCCTTGTCTTCGTCATCCTCCTTGAGAGGCCGACCGCGCTGCTTGACTTTCCTGCAAGGGTGGAAGATTGGTGATCTAACCTTAAGGGCCCATGTACGAATTCTTGAGCCTGAAGGGTTGAGGGTTTCGGGTTTAGGGTTCAGGGTTTAAGGTTTTGGGGTTCAGGGTTTAAGGTTTAGGGTTCAGGGTTCAGGGTCTATGTACTTAAACGGGGAATGCTTGGGGTTGAAAGTACCTCCTGTACAGGACTTTTGGGGGCTCCAAGTGTAACACATATATATGTATATATATATATATATATATACATATACATATATACATATATATATACATATATATATATATATATATAATAACGAGGTACATGGACCATCAGGCTTTGCTTTCAAGCGCTGCTTGCATAGAAAGGGGTTCTGGATTCGAGGTTCTGGGCTGTGTAGGGTTTGGGGTTTAGGGTTTAGGGTTTAGGGTTTAGGCTTTAGGGTGTAGGGTTTCGGGTTTAAGGCTTTGGGTTGAATACTGAGGGTGACAGAGCCTCTGACGGGTGGGAGGTCGCTAGGATCCTCAGCAACTTAGGACGAAAGCCAGCCTTGTTTTCTTCCCTAACCCTAAACCCCTAAACCCTAAACCCTAAACCCCTAAACCCCTAAACCCCTAAACCCCTAAACCCCTCAACCCCTAAACCCCTAAACCCCTAAACCCTAAACCCTAAACCCTAAACGAGTATTGGCCTTCCCCCTTTCTTGGCCAGCTTCTTCGGCTCCGGAGCCTCGGCTGGAGCCTCAGACTGTGGGATGGAGGTTTAGGGTTTAGGGTTCAGGGTTTAGGGTTTAGGGTTTGGGGTTTGGGGTTTGGGGTTTGGGGTTTGGGGTTTGGTGTTTGGGGTTTGGGGTTTAAGGTTTAGGGTTTAGGGTTTAGGGTTAGGGTTTGGCCCTTAAATGAGGGCCCCTTATGTACCCCTTATCGACCCTGTAGAAATTCAGGGCCCATACATCCGAAGCCTTTAAAGGAGTCTAGGGACCATAGGACCCCAAACCCTAAGCCCGAAGCCCTAAGCCTTAAACCTTAGTAAACCCCAAGAAATCCTAATAAAAACTACTCAAACGCCAAACGCCAAACCCAAACCCCAAACCCTAAACTCCAAACCCCAAACCCTAAACTCCAAGCCCTAAACCTTAACCCCTGGACCCTAAACCTTAAATCCTAAACCCCAACCCCGTAAGAAACCTAAACCCCAAACCCTACCATATCTTCTGGCTGTCTACCCTGAACTTTCAAGACCCCAAGCATCCCCTTACGCCCAGGGACTCTGCACCTCATTAGTATATTTATCCTTGCCCTAAACGTCCCCATGTAGGAGGTATGCTAAGGCCCAAGTATTCCCAATTTAGGTACATGGACCCTTAGGGCAAACCCCAAAACCTCAACCCTGAGTCCAGCAGCCTCATCGGAATCCACCTCACCTGGCCACAGCTCTCTTCGTCAATCCTAAACCTCTTAACCCTTAGGCTTTAGGGTTCAGGGTAGCCCCCTGAACCCGAAACCCCCTGAACCTGAAACCCGAGACCCGAAACCTTTTCTCTTGCAAAGGGGGCAGCAGAAGTTTAGGGTTTAGGGCTTAGGGCTTAGGACCCTAAACCCTAAACCCTAAACCCTAAACCCTAAACCCTAAACCCTAAACCCTAAACCCCAGGGTCAGGTCCGGAGCTTTGCGTGAAAGGCTTGGGCGAGTTTCGGGGAAGTTTTGGGTGGGTTCTGGGGCGATTTGTCTAGACCCAGGAGTAACCCAGAAAGAAAAGAGTACACTTTTTGGTTTTGAGGGGATGATAAGGGAACTCCAAATCTAAAAAAAGGAAAAAGGGCCTACTCCCGGTCCTAGTTGTTCGTTTGCTTCTCAAGATTGCCGAGTGTTCAGGTCCGGACTTTTGGGGCGAATGTTTTGAGCGAGGTGTGTGCCAAAGTCTTGGGCGCCTTTGTTTTTGTGCGAAGTCTTGCGGGAGCTTTACTGTTTGTTCTTGCTTTTTCGGCTCGTGGAGCTTTTGGGGGGTTTAGGGTTTAGGGTTTAGGGTTTAGGGTTTAGGGTTTAGGGTTTAGGGTTTAGGGTTTAGGGTTTAGGGTTTAGGGTTTAGGGTTTCTGGTTTAGGGTTTAGGGTTAGGGTTTAGGGTTTAGGGTTTAGGGTTTAGGGTTTAGGGTTTAGGGTTTAGGGTTTAGGGTTTAGGGTTTAGGGTTTAGGGTTAGGTTTAGGGTTTAGGGTTTAGGGTTTAGGGTTTAGGGTTTAGGGTTTAGGGTTTAGGGTTTAGGGTTTAGGGTTTAGGGTTTAGGGTTTAGGGTTTAGGGTTTAGGGTTTAGGGTTTAGGGTTTAGGGTTTAGGGTTTAGGGTTTAAGATTTAGGGTTTAGGGTTTAGGGTCTCGCAGGGCCTTGTGAGGCCTCCCTGGATTTTCTGGGAGTACATTGCCTCCAGTGACGATTTGGATCAATTTACTTAGCTTGGTCTGTGAAGCTAGCGGGGCCTTGTGTGGTGCCAGCTTTCTTCAAAATTATCACGTAACAATTTCTATTCATCCCGGTCTTGAGGGTTTGTTTAGGGTTTAGGGATTCGGGTTTAGGGCTTAGGGTTTCGAACTCGCCCTCATCCCGTGAGTGTCAAGGGAGGCCTTCTTCTTCCTCCTCCTCCTCATCTTCGTCGCCTCCCTCCGCGTCATCTTCCTCCGGAGCCGTGTCTGTAGGGCTTTTAAGTTTAAGGATGCCATCACTTGCCTTGTCCCTCACCCTAAACCCTAAACCCTAAACCCTAAACCCTGAACCCTGAACCCTGAACCCTGATCCCTAAACCCTAAACCCTGATCCCTAAACCCTAAACCCTAAACCCTAAACCCTAAACCCTAAACCCTAAACCCTAAACCCTAAACCCTAAACCCTAAACCCTAAACCCTAACCCTAAAAAATCAACTCCAGACCGCTGGACTCCCCAAAATCTCTAAGGGGTTTTGGGGGTGTTTAGGGTTTAGGCTCGGGGTGCTCCCCTCAGAAGAACAGTCCTTCATAGGGATTATAGGACTCCCGATTATTGAGGACTGTTAGTATAAGGGGGAACATCCCAAGTTTAGGTTGCTGTTGTTGGAGCGTGGGGACTTATCCCTTTTTGGGGGCGATGGGCCACCCCCCCCCCACACCCGAAACTGCGGTTTAGGGTTTACCCCAGGCATGCTTCGAGGTTGGGTAGGGGTCGCAAACCTCAACAAAGAAACACATTAAATGAGTCGGGGGCAAGTGGGGGGTTTAGTTTTGGGATTTGGGTGGATGATCTGAGGAACTGAACGCCCTAGACCCTGGAACATGTAAGCCCCTTGGAAGCACGTGTCTTTTGGGTTGTTTGGGCGTTGCAAGATTCTAGGATTTCTGGGTTTAGGGTTTTGGGAACCTCAAAGCCTAAGGCTTGTGGGGTTTGCAGCTTTAGGGCCTCAGGGCCTGTGAATGCAGATGGGGCAGAAACTTTGAAAGAAACTCAAAAGAGAGAGAAAGAAAGAGAGAAAGAAAGAAAGAAAGAAGGAAAGAAAGAAAGAAAGAAAGAGAGGAGGAGAGAGGCGCAGAGGGAGAGATTTCAACATGGGAGCCTCTCGCGGATTGTTATCTAGCAGCTTTTTTTCCGAGACTTGGCTGTACTCAGGAGGGTAGCTAGAAATTAAACTTTTAGCTGCCTTACTAAGAAACCCAATAAACCCAAAAAAAGGTAAAGGTCTAAAGTTACGGTAAAGTACCACACAAAGGAGAGGGAGGGTCCTGCTCCTCTTCGTCTTCATCCTCCTCTGCCTCGTCCTCTTCTTCCTTCGCCTCCCGCTTTGCTGCCTCCGTGCGGACCTCCTGGACACAAGCAAGACGCTCAGCCCCATTAAAGCCTATGAGCCCTATGCACCCTATAAACCCTTAAACCCTATAAACCCTTAAAAAGCCCCAAGAGCCCTAAAACCTGTAAAAACCTTTAAACCCTATATCCTAAAACCCTAGGATACTGGGAGTAGAGGTTCGGGGGTTCTGCTTGTCGAGTCGACCTCTTCACAACTCTGCTTTCTTGCTGTCTTCAGCAGTTTAGGGTTTAGGGTTTAGGGTTTAGGGTTTAGGGTTCAGCATCGGATCAGCATTCTCCAGAAACGCCAACTTTCGAGACCCGAAGCCTTTAAAGTTTCCCGAAGCCTTGCACCCTTTTGGATTCTAGGATTTGTGGGGGTTTCTGGGACATTCGAGGGGTTCTGGGGTTTAGGATTTTTGGGGTCCAGGATTCTAGGGTGTAGGGGCTTGGGACCGAAGAGCTCTAGACAGTTGACCGCTTGCGCATGTCCAGTCCGATACTGCACATGTTGAACTAGCCTTGCTACGCCCCCTAAACCCTAAACCCTCGTCCCTGAACCTTAAGCCCTAAATGCTAAACCCTCAACCCTGAACTCTAAACCACGAACCCTAAACCCTGAACCCTCAACCCTGAAACCTAAACCCCGAAGCCCGACACCTAAACCACCCAAAGCAAAACGCAAACCCTAAAGCCTCAACGCGGGCCCAATGTCGCCTACACCTCCCTCAATCCAGGAAGCCCCCAGCGCCGGATGCCCAACCTAAACCCTGTAAACCCTAGAAAACCCTATAAAACCCTCTAAAACCCTGTAAAACCCTGTAAAACCTTGCAAAACCCTGCAACACCCTGTAAAACCCTGTAAAACCCCGTAAAACCCTATTAAAGCTTATAAAGCCCTGTAAGCCCTGCATACCCTTATAAACCCTGCAAAGCCTATAAACCCTAAACCCTTCTCTAGCCCCCAGCTGTGTGCATGCAACTATGGCAGGGACACATGTTTAGGGGCTTGGGGGTTAGGGTGAGGGTTTAAGTTGGGGTGCAGCAACTTTTTAACTGAGGTGGTAAGCAGGGTTGCAAGCCTGACATAGTGGCTCATCTAGTCCTACTTACCTTTGCAGCGTGAACGAAAACGAAGCGGTAGTCGGAATCAAGTTCTGGGTGCCGATCACGCCGCATGCCCGGCAGCCTCCGGTGCGGGGCGCACCATGCTGTGAGCACGAGGCCGCACCCGCGGAGGCGGCGGGCTGCGCGCCCGTGGGGCTTGCTGGCGCCGCCGCTGAAACCAGCCAGGCTGGCACTCACATTTCCAAGACCGCTTGCAGAGCGGTTCGAAATGCTGGGCATGCTGCTGGTTGTCAGAGAAGACCTCGTGCTGTTTCGATATTACGGCATGCACCTCTTCGGTCGGCCGAGTGAGCTCCAGCTCACTAATGATGATCGCATTGCACATCAACTGCAGGCCCAAACCCTGAAAAACATAGATCCTCAAGGGGCTCAGGCTGTAGGGTGTTTCCGAATTGAAAAATGCTCCTGAAACCTTCGACTAGCAATTCCACAACTCGGGAGGCCCAGACGCGATGAAAGGCTTGATACTCTCTCCGGGTCTAAGCCCTGAACCCTGAACCCTGAACCCTACACCCTAAACACTAAACCCTAAACCCTAAACCCCAAACCCTAAACCCTAAACCCTAAACCCTAAACCCCCCTAAACCCTAAACCCCAAACCCCAAACCCTAAACCCTAAACCCACGCAAACGACCAGACCCCAAGTCCTTGGCCTCTGCCTGTTGAGATGCATCGCGACTTGTGGCATTTGCCCGGCCGGATGTCCTGATAGCATAGGTAGGGTTTGTGGTTTGTGGTTTAGGGTTTAGGCTCTAGTGCGAGGGTTGAGGGTTTGGGGCTTAGGGTTTAGGGTTTATAGGGTTCTTAAGGGAGGGAGGGGGGGGCTCATGGGGGTAGGCAACCCTAAGCCCTAAACCCTAAACCCTGAACCGGTAGGTACCTAGGGAAACTTAGGGAAGCTTCGGGAGCCTTGGGGAGCCTCGGGAAGTATTGGGCAAGCTTGGGTTGCACACCCCCCTTGAACCCCGCCTACCCTTATGGGCCCCATAAAGTTTGAACCGAAACCAGCTAAACCCTAAACCCTAAGCTCTTTCAATGCTAGGGCTCCAGTACAAGTTTAAAGTGGCGCCGGTGAAACACCGCCTTGCCACCTGGAAGATTGTCGCCCTCTTGGTGGCCCAGTAACCATATTAAACCCTGAACCCTATTTAAGCCCTAAACCCTAAGCCCTAAGCCCTAAACCCTAAACCCTGAACCCTGAACCCTGAACCCTAAACTTCGAAGCCTAAACCCTACACGCCCTCGCGGCTTGATCTCACAGATTTGGATTTCAGGGTCAGTTCTCTAAATGAAGGGCCCTTTTGGGGCATCTTCAATAAGAGGGGCCGCCTTACAAGAAGGACCCCACAAGGGGCCATCATTTCGAGAAGTGACCATATCCACCCCTGGAGATAAGGTTTGGGGTTTAGGGTTTCGGGTCATATACCTCGTCAGAGATTCGAGTAGTATGGGGAAAGGTGATGCCAACTACCAGGATCATTTTCTCCACAACAGAAGTGTGTGGAGCTCTTGGTTAAACGTAAACCTTAAACCCTGAATCCTAAACACTAACTTTTATAGAGTAAGGGAGGGCCTCACCATGATATTGCATTTCGAGCGGTTGATCTCCAATCCCGCCTTCTGTAAGAAAAAGAGCAAGATCCCAACATTCTCATGAGCCTGATACAAATCGTCCCAAGACTGCATGCCCTTGTGAACCACCATGTCATCAAGCGAACCGCGTCAAGTACTCGACGACTTCTGAAAAGCCAATTGTCTGCCCCACTCGTCGAAAGACATCTGTGATGACCAGGGAGAAGAAAGATGGAGCCAACTTACAAGCCTGTCTGATGCAAGGGTTTAGGGTTTAGGGTTTAGGGTTTAGGGTTTAGGGTCACGCGTGGATGGAATGCTGCTACTGGAGTGACCATACCTCAGGTTGTACGTAGCGTGCCGAGGACGCTCAGCAACCAGCTCCACATCCCTCTCATCTGCCCCTGCTGTTAGGGTTTAGGCTTTAGGCTTTAGGCTTTAGGCGTTAGGCTTTAGGCGTTAGGCTTTAGGGTTTAGGCTTTAGGCTTTAGGCTTTAGGCTTTAGGGTTTAGGGTTTAGTCGGGCAGAGCAGGTACTTAGGAAGCCTCAGGGAAGCTTGGGGACTTAGGGAGTCGCAGGGAGTATTAAGGAATCTGAGGTTACCCGAGATTTGTCCTTCAGCCCCCAAAAATACCCTAGACAACCCCCCCGCGCCCCCCCCCCCCCCCCCCCCCCCCCCCCCCCCCCCCCCCCCCCCCCCCCCCCCCCCCCCCCCCCCAAAAAAAAAAGAAAAAACAAAGGGTTTAGAATCTAGGGTTAGGGTTTAGGGTTTCTCAAAACCCCCGAACCTAAGAGACCTCTAAATCTCCACCCGAAATCCCTTCCCCAACTTCCTGGGAGCCTAAGCTTGCCAAACCGGAGTCCCCCTCCCCTCGCATTTAGGGTTTAGGCTTCAGGCTTTAAGGTTTAGAGGGTTTAGGGCAGTTTGGGGTTTAGGGTTCCCCCCTCTGACTTGCGGCACAGAGTCTTGTTCCCAGCGGCCTTGGAGACCTACCAGGCAGGATCGGGGCCCTGCGTAAGTAGGGATGTATGTAGCTTTAAAGGGTTTAGGGTTTAGGGTTTCGGGTTTAGGCTTTGAGGGTAATTACTAAGTATAGCTTGCTTACGTATAAGCTCATTCTTACTTCTCCAATAACCAAAGAAGAAAAAAGGTTACACTTTATAAATCCCTACACAACAAGGAAATTCAAAAAGTTTGAAGTTCATCTATTGGCTAAGTAAGCACTTCCTCAGCCCCCTGAGCCTTGAAGTACCAGGCAGGAGGGAGTGCGCTAGGCTTTCGAGGATTAGGCAGTTTAAAGGTATAGGGAATTTAGGGAGTTTAGGGAGCAGGGGGTATAGGAAGCTGAGGGTTGAGAAAGTTTGGGGTTTACGGAGTTTATAGCTTAGGGAATTAGGGAAGAGGGATTTCGTGTTGTTACTAAAACACGAGATTCGTATAGCGTGGGGATTCAGAGTGTTTAGGGCTTTTAAGGATAGGTGTTCGGGCACTTTCTAAAGATTCGTAAAGCTTACGGAATTTAGGGTCCAGGGTCTTGAGACTGGGGGGTCGTAGGGGTTTGGGATTTTGGGGGTTTGAGCGTTGAGGGTTTAGGGGCCAGGGTTTAGGGGCTGAGGATGTTTGTGGATGCTTGCTTGCTTGCTTTCTTGCTTGCTGGCTTGCTGGTTGGCTGTCGGAGATAAGCACAAAAAAACAAAACCCAGCCAGCGCTGCGCTGGACCCCATAAGCCCCTCAGTGTACTCCAAAAAATCGGAACATCTATATGCACTGCAAAGCATATGACCCCTACAATAAGCCCTGTAAACGGCCTGCTTTACTCCACCTGTGCATCTACACATTCATACGTATGGGGTTTCTGAGTATAGGAGTACCTTTTTTTGGGGTTGCTATAGGAGTAATATTCGGTACTCTATTTGGGAAGTTCACATATGCATGCACGTACTCTGAACCCTAAACCCCAAACCCCAAACCCCAAATCCCACCCACTAAGCTGTTCTGCGCGCTCGCACCTTCGCCCCACTGGCACGCACACTCACGGTGGAAGTCGTCGTCACCTTTGCACGAAGGGTTAAAGGTTTGGGGTTCAAGGCTTTAAGGTCTACATATCTAATTCGGGATTTGGGTTTAGGGGTTACTCTACAAAGCATCCGATCTAGGCTTGTGTGGCGATGATATCCGTGTCTGTTAACACGTGCAACCTAGGTTGTTTGGATTTACAGGCCTCAGAAGGGTTCGGGGTGTGAAGGCTGCAGCAAGTTTATGGGATGGGCCGAGCTTGGGGCATTTAATCCTGCGTTTGCGCTTCCGGAAAGTGCCGGGTTTGGATTAACTACCGTTTTCATGTGACATTGCTGAGGAAGCCCTACGTAGAGCCTAAAAATACTACATCCATAAACCCTACACGTGAAGGAAGAAACCCTAAACCCTAAACCCTAAACCCGAAACCCTAAACCCTAAACCCTAAACCCTAAACCCTGTCAGGCACCTGTGTTTTACAAAGTGTGTCATGGCCCGGTGTGAACTGACCTGCGAAGATCGAAGCCCTATCCCTAAGCACTACAGACCCTAAGCGCCTGAACCATGGCATCGGACGTGGTTCCACTTCATTTTTAGGTGTCCCCTAAACCGAACCCCTAAACCCTAAAACCACAATCTTGAACCCACAATCTTAAGCCCTAAACCCCAAAACCTAAACCCTAAACCCCCACACCCAAAGCCCGAGGTTTTGAGGCTGCTTAGGTTTAGGCGGGCCCCAGGAGGGCCCCATTTTGCCCCAAAGCCATCCTAAGTAGTAATACAAGTAAGGGTTTAGGGTTTAGGGTTTAGGGTTTAGGGTTTAGGGTTTAGGGTTTAGGGTTTAGGGTTTAGGGTTTAGGGTTTAGGGTTTAGGGTTTAGGGTTTAAGTACAAGGGTTTCGGGTCTAGGGAACCCGAAACTCCAAACCCTAGCCCCCAAACCCCTAAGCTAAGGTTCCCCCAACCTAAAGCCCTGAACCTTCTACCCGGAGGTGGAGCCTACATACAGTTAGGGGTTAGAGGCTTAGGATGACTTACTGGACCCAAGAGTAAGCTAGATATTGAAAGGGTGCCCGTTTTTTTTTTTTTTTAGGGGCTTCTAAGGAAACCTAAACCCTAAAATAGGGGAGTGAGGGCCTACTCTGGGTCCTAGTCTAGGGGTTGAGATGTGAGGCTATGTGGTTTGGGTTTTTGCGTCTAGGGTGTAGAGGGTACACGGTTTCGGCTAGGCTCTCGGGTAACCCGAAAACCCAAACCCTAAACCCTAAACACTAAACCCTAAACCCTAAAGTTCAGCGTTCTTGGGGTTTTTTGAGTTTCCGAGGCTGCCGCCGTGGTGATGGTCGTGGTTGTGGAGGTCGTGGTGGTTGTTGGCCGGAGCTCCACCTAAAAGAAGCCGAAAGTAGGGGTTTAGGGTTTAGGGTTCAGGGTTTAGGGGTACATTATTGGGGTCCTTATTGTTATAAGAGAATCTTACTATTTGTTCGGAGCCCCTTATTTTCGTAAACCCCCACCTCCTTCTGCACAAAGTACATGTTGCCGTCCTCGCGCGGGGATACGGGCTTAAAGGTTCTTCCTCATAAATGATTCTGGGAATGCTCGACTTCTCATAATAGGCGGTCTTTGGCAAGGCTTGCCCCAGCAGGTCTCGCATGAGCACGAGTATGGCCATTTCGCAGTAAATGGGGTTGGGGGTAACACCTGCAACGCTAAGCAAACCCTGAAAACCCTCAAAGCCCTGGGCAAAAGTAATACGAAACGTTGCCCTTCTTGGGTGGGAATAAGTTCATCCGGATCTCACGGGCCCATAGAAGGGGCCCATACTTTCAGCCATTTAAACCCTAAACCCTCACCCCCAAAACCCGCTTAGGGAGCCGGTGGTAGTGTCCTTCACCCCGTCGTTGTAGGCTCGCACCTGCTTCATTTGCGAGGGGTGGGTGGGTTGAGTGCTGCTTTTGCTTTGTTGCCTCAACATGTAGTTTTTTGACAGTTCAGGCTTCGAAAGTTCGGACTGTCAGCTTGGTTGTGGGATTCTGCTGTCGCTCACCTGCCACATCTGCCCCCTTGAAACCCTAAACGGCCCTAAACCCTAAACCCACTGTGGCAGCGCCTCCGGGTTAACCCATACACATGGGAGGCCCTGTGCGTTGAGTGCCCACCCCGGCCGACAGCGGCATCGGATGAATGACAGAAGGACCAATGCAGGAGCAAGCCGCCCATCCCTCAGTTAAAGGCTTCTCAGGGTGAGGAGAGGTTTAGACTTCCAAACCCCAAACCAAGCAATGACGGCTGCAAACCTCTAAACCCCGGCTGCCACGGAAGTTATGTATGTCCGATCAGGCCAAAACCACATGAGTAAAGTGCAGGCGCATTGTAGCTTTCTTGCCGCAGTCCCTAAACCCTAAACCCTAAACCCTAAACCCTAAACCCTAAACCCTAAACCCTAAACCCTAAACCCTAAACCCTAAACCCTAAACCCTGACCCCTCAATCCTCAACCCAAAACCCAAGACCCTAAACCTTGAACCCTACCCTGACTCCCTCCGAAGTCCCTTGCATGCAAAAACGCCGAACCTGCAGCCACACATCCTGAAGCTAAGGGTGCCTTCATATAGTTTAGGGTTTAGGGTTTAGGGTTTAGGGCTTTTGGGTTGAGGGCGCAAGGTTACTTGGAACTGGTGTGGCCCCGAACCCAACTTTAACTCCGGGCCTCATACTTGCCTTGTAGAACCACAGAAAACCCCAGCATAGTCCTCTGCGATCAGACCTGACCCCTAAGCTTAAAACAATCCTGCCCTACTTAAACGCACGCAAAATGCGTGCTGGAGCTGCAAAGGGTTTAGGGTTTAGGGTTTAGGGTCTAGGGTTAAGGGTTAGGGTTTAGGGTTTAGGGAAGAGTTAGGAGCTCAAACCTTGTCCTGGGACCTCAAAAACCTCAAAAAAAAGTTGAGTTCCAACCACGGCTGGGACCTCCAATGTTTCAGATCAAAGCACAAACCGGAGGCCTCCAGCGTCCCAAAGTGAGTGATGTGCGCGGTGCATGAGACACACACTAGACCCTGAGCCTAAACCCTAAACCCTGAACCCTGAACCCTGAACCCTGATACCTGAACCCTAAATACTAAACCCTAAATCCTCAAGCCTAAACCCTAAACCCTGAACCCTGAGCCCTAAACGCCCTGAACCCTTAACCCTAGGGACTGTCCAGGAATCCCGGCGCCCAAGGACGGGTGTGGGCGGTGCGCCGCTGTTCCAGAGGGACCGATGGACTCGTTGCCTCGCCCCGCAACTGAAACCTTAAGACCCTTCGGGTTTAGGGTTTAGGGTTTAGGGTTTAGGGTTTAGGGTTTAGGGTTTAGGGTTTAGGGTTTAGGGTTTAGGGTTTAGGGTTTAGGGTGTAGGGTTTAGGGTTTAGGGTTTAGGCTAAGGAGAGGGTCCGGCGTAGCAGAAACTCTGGGAGAAGGGCTAAGGGTTCGGGGTTACGGCCTTTTCGGCTACATTTATGTTTAAGGTGTAGGGTTTAGGGTTAGGGTTTAGGGTTTAGGGTTGAGGGTTCCAAGCAGGAGTGCCCAGAGTTGCCGTCGCTTGACAAGACCGAAGGAGGCGTTGTACTGAGGCCGTTGATGTCGTGACACTCGATTGAAACCCGAAACCCGAAACCCTAACCCTAAACCCTAAACCCTAAACCCTAAGCCCTGAACCCTGAACCCTGAACCATCAGGCTTTGAAAGGATTGCCAGATCAGGTGTACATGGGAGGTTCATGGGTACTTATAACCCCAATCAGAACTGTACTTATAAGCCCCCTCCAAATGTAGCTGTACTTTTAAGAGCCCTAAGTCCCCCTAGTAGGCTATAAGTAGACTTATAATTGGAGCTATAGCCCTAAACCCTAAACCCTAAACCCTAGACCCTAGACCCTAAACCCTAAACCCTAAACGTGGGGTTATCAGTACCCATGAACCTCCAAGAAAGAGGCTTCTCATCTTTGGGCAACTGAGCAACTGTTCCCGTGAACTTGTACACTGGAAGGTGAGGGTCGTCTAGGGTTTGGGTTTGGGTTTGGGTTTGGGTTTAGGGTTTAGGGTTGAGGGTTTCGGGTTTCGGGTTTCGGGTTCAGGGTTCAGGGTTTAGGGTTTAGGGTTTAGGGTTTGGGGTTTGGGTTAGGTTTTAGGGTTTAGGGTTTTTAAGGGTCTGAGATTTAGGGTCTGCGGTTTACCCGACCCTACAATGTTAAGCCCTTCTCCTCCCAAATCCGAAACCCTAATGGCCCCCCAAAGACTTGCCCTAATCGCTAAACCCTGAACCCTAAAACCATGGGCCGGAACCCCTTATCTCAAGCCACTGAGCCAAGAAAACAACAGCTCATGGTTCAGGTATGTGAGCGGCTCTCTAAATTGTAGTCCCTGTTGCGGGGGAGCCTTGTTATACGGAGAGTTGTATATTTCTATATGTACATATGCGAGGCCTACACCCTCCTTGTCTACACCGCGCTTCTGCTTGCTTCCACGCACTGGTGTACAGGTAGCACACACCGAAAACAATGTAAATACCGATCAAATCGTATTTGTCGAGTATTTGCGCAGCTATTTACACAACACATCATGCATGCTAAATATACATAAATCTGATATCCGTATGACCTTATTTACTCCGCCTTAAAAAAACTAGTGTTTCTTCGTGTGTTTGTTGTTATTCAAAACAACATCCTAGCTTCTGCACGTGCGACTATCTGTCTCTCCAGCTGCACGGAAAACTGGGTCTGACGCGATTTCTTTCAGGACTCTCAGGAGAAGGTCTCTTTCCTCATACAACCAACGACAACAACTAATAGGACGAGTCCTACTACTAATCATAACAATATTATTCTGGCTATACTATTTATAGTAATAATTGGCTCCGTGGTACAGTGAGTCCGCTGCATTTCGGGGGTTACGCAAACTCCAAGTCTCCAAGTCTTGCTTGTCGCGAGGCTGGCGGCGTGTGTCCCCAAAGCTGTCCTTCATTGCTCCCTCAAAGCAAGCTGACCATCGGAATTCATACTACATCGACAAAACCAGTATGTACTTAGGGTTGAATTTCGATGCAACGAATAATGCATTGGTGCGCTTGAAAGACTGTACTAGGTGTTTCAATAGTACTTCATTTGCACATTTGATCAACATTGCGCTTGGAAAACAGCGCCATTTCTTTACAAAAAGAACAAACTGCTTAGGAAAACTGCATAATTTTTGTCGACACACCTGAGAACCCAAAAGTCCATGCTCGCCAGAAATTCTCCCAGGGTTTTAGGATTCGTGAACTGTCGAGTACTATGATCTTCGCGAGGCAGATCAAAGGTTTCTAAGAAAACCATGTGTTTTTAGGCTTGTCTATGTACGATTTAGACAGAATATGTTCTGTACAAGTGGTACTAAATTCGTGTGTGAGCAGTGTATCAGTACTATCTAATGCAAACTGCTTCCTTATAGTTCCGCGCGTAGTGTCCGTAAGGGACCTTGCCAGGCAAAGAGACTGCGAGTCGGGTTTAGGGTTAAGGGTAGTTCAGAGGCGGCTCATACCGTCACGGCGTCTGTTAAGTGTTTGGGGTTTACGGTTGCAAGGCCCTTCTGTTACGGCTTCGGGGTTAGGGCTCTTATAGGACTCACTGTTCCTTTGGAGGGTTCAGGGCTTAGGGCCCTTGCAAGAGTTGGTGTTTATAGGTTCCTAGAGAAGAAAAAACTGTTGCTGCAAAGCCGCACTTCACGTGCTCGATGGACATGGGCAAGATTAAATTTATTGGGGGGTTGACCTTATCTAGACAACAAGTAGTTGAGACCCAAACACGGCTGATCTCAGCACTCGTGAGGTCGCAGTCCTCCCGAATAACGATGTCGCCGCGAGATGTTCCCCTGCAGAAACAGGGTTTTGCCGCTGAGACTTTGGCACCTGAGAGCCCCTGGCCAAGGCGGTCTGGGGTTCCAGCTGCGCTGGTCCCATGGAGAAGAGTGTGCTTCGTGGCTGGGGGAGGGAAAGGAAAAATGATTGTCCTGCTTCCGAAAAATGGATGGGGAGTGTGCTGCTACATGCCATAAAGACACGCCCGTTCCGACTAGTGCGCTGTGAGCAGAGCAATCGTTTCCGAGTCATTAATGAAATCCAGGCTCGAGACGAATGCTGGCAACCTTACATGCTCACGGGTGCTCCAAGGGCAAGGACAGGTTGTCGCTGAACCCCTCAGAGGCTGCATGCACAAGTCAAGAACGTAACCACCCCGCCCCCGCCTCGCGCCGCGCTTGCGTGCTCCCCGCCCCACCCCCCCGCGCCCGCCTCTGCCTCCGCCCCTGCCCCCACCCCTAGAAAACCGCAACAAGCCACCAACAAGCTCAGAAACAGGCACGTGAGCACAAACAACGTACCACTACCCCCAACCTCAGTCATGATTGCCCTATAGACCCCCAGAAGACGACGTGTTCGCCATGCAAATGCAAAGGGGCTGCGTCAACTCAGTTCTGAACATTCCAACACTGCGCTTGCTGCATGAAGAGAGAAATACTGACCCATAGCGGCCTCCATGATCGAGGGCTTACCTGCAGGACTCACAGCTGTATGTGTGCAACTGGAACACGCGTTGCCCGCACTTCACACTCTCGACTTATTCGCTGCGCGGCAACTATTGGCGATGGCAGGGTGGGTGTCGCAATAAAGCTGAGAGCCGACAGATGCGCATCGGCCAGGTCGAGCACAGGAAGGGAAACCGTCTGGATGTTCTTAACATCTCCACACAGCAGCTTACTGGTGTTTGATTCATGGACAGTTCTAAAGAGTTCATATTGCCGAGGCTCCCAAGCATGCCCCTACTGTATGCAATATTAAACTCAAATTCTGCCGCACTATGTATTTAGAAAAGTATTGTCTGGGCTTGGGACAAGCGCTACTTCTCCAGAAACGGAACGAAATACTTAGAAAAAACATCTTTCTATAAAAGTGCAGTTTGTGTGTAGATTGTCAAGCACAATCGCTATGTTTTGCAATGGATAGTCTATGAATGAACAAAAGCTAGGATAGCTCACTCGCCGCTTTCATATAGTATTAGTTCAATATTTGCCTAGTACAGCACTATCTATCTAGAAAGGCACAGTATTTCCCTAGGTTGTGTGCAAGCAGTGTTTCCCTATAAGATAAAAAAAGCAAAACCAGGCCAACCAACACCCCCCAGACCAAAAATCACCAAAACCAACAAAAACTATAAAAGCAACAATGAAGCATGATTCTGAGACTCTTGGAAAGATGAAACAAAAAACCAAAACACAAAAACCAACAAAAAAGACATTCTTCCGAGACTCTTGGACCCCTTGATGTCAAGAGTTGGAAATTCTTATTTTTTTGTTTGGTGCTTTTTTGGTCTGGGCTGTCCTGGATTCACCTTTCCAAGAGTCTTAGAATAAATTGGTTTTGTGTATTTGTTTGCTGTTTTGGTTTGGGCTTTTTGACATCCTGATTTTGGTGTGTTTTTATATGCTGTTTTTGGTTCGGGAAACCTGTAAACGCAGATATTGGGGGGGGGGCGAGCATACATATATATATATATATACATATTCATCTTTGTATATTTATATTTATACATAGCCTACCTAAACCCTAAATCCTAAATTCCTAAACCCTAAGTCTTCGCTCGGCCCCTTGTCGAAGCAATCCCAGACGCTCATCCCTAAACCCCTAAGCCCCAAACCCTAAACCCTGAACCCTAAACCCTAAATCCTAAACCCTAAACCCTAAACCCTTAACCCCAAACCCTAAACCAAAAGCCCTAAACCCTAGACAAGGCCTCCTGGCTCCCAGTAGATGTTTCCACCCAGCTGCTCCTCAGCTGACCGCTCCCAGGTTCCAGGAGCTTTTTGGGTTTTAGGGGTTTTAGGGGCTTCAGGGGTTTTAGGGGTTTTAGGGGTTTGAGGGGTTTTGGGGGTTTTGGGGGTTTTAGGGGTTTCAGGGGTTTGAGGGCTTTAGGGGTTTAGGGTTTTAGGGGCTTTAGGGTTGTAGGGCTTTAGGGTTTTAGGGTTGTAGGGGTTTCAGGGTTTAGGGTTGTAGGGGTTTTAGGGTTGTAGGGGTTTTAGGGTTGTAGGGGTTTCAGGGGTTTTAGGGGTTTCGGGGTTGTAGGGGTTTTAGGGTTGTAGGGGTTTTAGGGGTTTTAGGGGTTTCGGGGTTGTAGGGGTTTAGGGTTTTAGGGTTGTAGGGCTTTAGGGTTCAGGGGTTTTAGGGCTGTAGGGGTTTAGGGTTTAGGGTTGTAGGGCTTTAGCGTTTTAGGGTTGTAGGGGTTTAGAGGTTTAGGGCTGTAGGGGTTTCGGGGTTTTAGGCGTTTCGGGGTTTAAGGGTTTAGGGTTTTCGGGATTTAGGGGTTTGAGGGTTTAGGGGTTGTAGGGTTTTAGGGTTTATAGGCTTTAGGGTTTAGAGGTTTTAGGGTTTTAGGGTTTTACTGCCTTAGGGTTTAGGGGTCTTGGGGTTTAGGGTTTTGGGGTGTTTGGGTTTTAAGGTTTTAGGGTTTCAGGGTTGTAGGGTCTTGATGGTCTTTTGGGCTGACTCGGAAATTGGGCGACTAGGGCTTAGGGTTTACAGGTTTAGGGTTTAGGGTTTAGGGTTTAGGGTTTTATGGGCTTCGTCGTGCTTATAAGGTTTGCGGGTTTATAGGGTTGTTAGGGCTTCAAGGCTTCTATGGCTTCCGCGTTTGCAGGGTTTCTGGGGTTGGTCATAGGGTAAGTCGGGCTTGTGGGTTGAAAGTTTTCAGGGGTTGTAGTGTTTAGGGTTTGCAGGGGTTACATGAATCGGCAGAGCATTCTGAACTCGAGCCCCTAAGGTGCCGTACCCTGACGCGTACCCCTAAAGCTCTTTTGACTTAGCAAGCCTACTTAGTATCCCTATATAGTATAGTCCCCATAACCCACCTTGCTGACCCTCTTACTAAGTCAAAAGGGCTTCCAAGACAACCCTAAACCCTAACCAAAAACCCTAAACACTCCTTAGTGCTTCTCTGGGTGAAGCTGCAGCGGAGTTGCGTAAGACCACGAAAACCACTGGCTCCTTGGGTCACCCCCCACAGACGCTGTTGAGGGCTTGGGGTTGAGGGTTGTTCCCCGAAGTGATCTTAATAAGAGGGCTAGGGTTTTCGGGTGTAGGGAGTCTCTGAGCACAAATAAACCCTCAGCTAAAGCAATCTTAAGCGCTGACAAATTCAAGCCTGATTTCGACGTTTTGCCAAATCTGAGGTTTATTTCAACCAGCAATAGCCGTAATCGGATTCAACTGTAAACCCTCTCTTAATAAAGCCGAACTAGACTGAGGCCGAGAACTGGGCCGCTTCCTAGAAAGGGTGCCTACTTTCTGGGTATGGTACATTGTTGAACATCTACCGGACCCCCCAACACCATAACCCTAAACCCTAAACCCCAATCCCCAAGCCCTAAGCCCCAAACCCCACACCCCCCTGGATAAGCTCACGCTGTGAGGGGGTGGGTGCGGCAAAAAAAAACCTTCAAGCCGTCCTCGGCCAAAAAAAAGCATGCGGCCTTTGAGCTCTTGGTTCCCCATACCGAGTTTAGGGTTTGGGGTTGGGGGTTGGGGGGGGGGGGGGGTAGGGTTTAGGGTTTAGGGTTAGGTTCCCCATTCCTGGCCGACGCCGTGAATTCTGGAGCTTATATAGCCCAAAGAGTCCATGTACCTAAATAGAGAATACTTGGGCCTGAAAGCGGCTCCTATATTGGGATGTCGGGGCCCACGTTATGTAATCACGAGGTACATGGACCCTTAGGGTAAGGGCTTGGGGATTAGGGCCTTTAGGGTTTGGGGTGTTGGGTTTAGGGTTTGGGGTTTCGGGCTTGTGGTTTCCTTCAAGCTTCAGGGGACATGGAGGCAAGGTTCTCTCGGTAGGTGCTGCTACCCTAAACCCTAAACCCCAAGCCCCAAGCCCTAAGCCCTAAACCCCATACCCCAAACCCTAAACCCTAAAACCCTGAACCCAAAACCCTAAACTCTAAACCCTAAACCCTAAACCCTAAACCCTGAACCCTAAACTAAGCAACTTCCAAAGCCTCGAGTTTTTTGTCCCAGGCTCTCGGAGCAGCTGCATCCTTTGGGCTCCATACCTTGATTTAGGGTTCAGGGTTTAGGGTTTAGGGTTTAGGGTTTAGGGTCAGGGGTTTAGGGTTTGGGGTTTAGGGTTTAGGGTTTGTGGGCTATTTGTGGCGTAGGCGGTTCAATTGGGGCAATCCTGCATCGGATCATCGGCGGCTGGGCGCTCGTGGATTGCCATCAAGAAGGTCCAATTGCTGCTCCCACTGTAATATCACTCCATACAAGCACGGGCCCTGCTAAATCCCAGGCTCTAAACCCCAGTTCAGGTCGGGTAGTATAGGATCCCGGGCAGATTGCAGGATTGCGGGCGAGCCAAGTTCGTATTCCCATCCCCCCCCCCCCCCCCAAAAAAAAAAAAAAAAAAAAAAAAAAACAAAGAAGCTTGAAGATGGACATCGGCTGGGTGCTTGGGCAGTAGGTCTGTACCACCTCAACCCTGAACTTCAGCAAGCTTTGAGGTCTGGTACCCCCCCCCCCTTTCCTCCAGCGCTATGAGAGGGCACATGCGTACCGCCTAAACTCGAAAGCCCTAGCCCTAAACCCTTAACCCGCAACCCTAAACCCTAAACCCGAAACCCTAAACCCTAAACCCGAAACCCTAAACCCTAAACCCTCCTTTCCCCCTAAAACCCCACCCCAGCATGGCCACGGCAACAAACAAAAAAAGGAAACCAGAATGGACACTCTTTAGGGTTTAGGGTTTAGGGTTTTAACTCCTCGTATTCCCCAAAGCCAGGAATACATTTGCCCGCATCCCTAAACCCTCCACCCTAAACACAGTATGTAGTCCTTGCCCGCTCCCTAGACCTGTCAGCTCCTTAATATACCCTGAAGAAATCTGACAAACCCTACAAAGATACAAACACTACACCCTAAAGCCAAAAACCCGAAACCCTAATCCGAAAGTCCCTGAGACCCAGAATTCCCCCGAAGCCCTTGCTTCACCAGCCAGGCGCAGCTGAGGGTGGACTCGAGTGCCTTTCCACCATCCAGGGCAATCTGCCCCCAGTGGGAAGGGTCGTAGTACTGCACGCCTGAGAGTTTAGGGTTTAGGGTTTAGGGTTTAGGGTTTAGGGTTAGGGTCTAGGATTTAGGGTCGTAGTACTGCACGCCTGGGAGGCTTTGGTATGACGGGCCTTCGGGGCTGGAGGACTTCCAGGATTTGGGGTTCAGGGGTTTCTAGGGTTTAGGGTTTAGGGGTTTAGGGTTTTTGGTTTAGGGGTTTCGGGCTCAGCATCTCAAGTGCAAGCAGTCACCAACGTCAGGAAAGCCGTCAACGTCTTAAAACAGCACGCTCGTTGGGATGTCTAGGGTGTATACTTGGAAGCCCGTTGACTTAGTACATAGGGTTAGCAAGGTGGGTTAGGTGGAGGATAATCGGGTTTCTAGGGGATACCCAAAACCCTAAACCCTAGAGGCCCTTGAATGGGGACGCCTTATATACCCAAGGGCCCATACTTCAGAACCCTTTGAGAGAAGGTAAGGGACCAAACTAAGGGACCATGTAACGCCTGAACGCTACAAACCGAAACCTTATGAATCCCAAACTCCGAACCCTAAATCCCTAAACCAAACCCTAACGCCTAAACACCGAAGAAGAACAACCCTACACCCTACACCCTACACCCTACACCCTACACCCTACACCCTACACCCTACACCCTACACCCTACACCCTACACCCTACACCCTAAACCCTAAACCCTAAACCCTAAACCCTAAACTAAGCCAAGACGCGAATACCCCGCCAGAAGTGCCGCTGGTTCGGACCCTTGGCTTTTGGGTCCTGGTCCTGCGAAGGGGCTTTGGGGGCTCAAGGGTTTAGGGTTTAGGGTTTAGGGTTTAGGGTTCAGAGTTTGCTAGGTAAAGCGTTTGGGGTTCAGGGTTTAGGCCTTAGGGTTTGGTTCGGTTTAGTCAACTCAGGGTTTAGGCACCTGCATCCTAAACCCTAAACCCTGAACCCTGAACCCTATCCCTAAACCCTAAACCCTAAATTACTAAACCCTAACCCTTAACCCTAAACCCAGCTCGTGAACCTCCAGGTTCTTAGGGTAGTTACATGGTCCCTTAAACGGGGACCCCTTATATACCCGACGCAACACAAGGGCCCACAATCCATAACTCTACAAAGAATGCAAGAGTCCATAGTAATAAGGGGCCCTAAACCCTAAACCTTAAACCCCTAAACCCATGAAACAACCCGTAGATCAACCGTCCGTGAAACCATTCTTAGACATGTGCGCTGCCTACTGTTGCGCCTACGAATCTCCCCTCCGCTTTTCGCTATTTCTTGCAAAGAAGACCTGGCTCTGGAGCCAAGACGTTTAGGGTTTAGGGTTTAGGGTTTAGGGTTTAGGGCTTAGGGTTTAGGGTTTCGGGTTTAGGGTTTCGGGTTTAGGGTTTAGGTTTCATGTTGCACATGGGTAGTCCTCTAAATTTGCATCCCTTTTTGGCAACTTTTTGGGGTCCTTCTTATGAGGGGTGCCGTACAACAACAAGAACGGGGATCCCAAAAAGAGAGAGCCTCATTCAAAGAACTACGCTACGGAGTCCATTACGGAGAGTAGCCTCCGAGGATTCGTATCTGGAGCCGGACTACTCCGATTCGCAAGTCCCACAAAACATCGAATAGAGCCTAACTCATTGGGGTTTCGGGTTTGGGGTTTCGGGTTCCCACCCCCTCCCCCATAAGCCCTGTACCAACAGACAATGAACTTCAAACCCTAAACCCTAAACCCTAAACCCTAAACCCTAAACCCTATTCGCCAATATCTCCCGACCTTTCTTGCACCCTAAGGCCCCGAAGCCCTAGAACCCTCAAGCCTGACTTAGTTGCTGAGTTCGCACCCCCCCCCCCCCCCCCCCCCGAAAAAAAAGAAAAAGTGTACACTTTCAGTTCTATGGGGGATTACAGTATCCCAAAAAGTGCGAAGGGCACTCTTTCAGCCACTCAACCCAGCTACCCGCTCCCAAGAAACCTAAGCCCGGGCACCCAGAAAGCTTCGGTGAAGATGTTGAGGTGCCCACCGCACTTCCTAAGTTGCTAGGGTTTAGGGTTTAGGGTTTAGGGTTTAGGGTTTAGGGTTTAGGGTTTAGGGTCTAGGGTCTAGGGTCTAGGGTTTAGGGTTTAGGGTGTCTAGGGTTTCCTGAGTTGTTACTTTATGGTTGAAGTCTTGCCATTTCTGCTAGCTGAGTTGTGCTTTGAACCCTTTAGGTTTTAGGGTTTTGGGTTTAGGGTTTTGGGGTTTAGGGTTTAGGGAAGAAGGGAAGTGACAAGTTGTCCCAAAGCACAACCCAGCTATTGTCACGCTGGTCATGGGTGGGAGGGTGTACTCGGAGGTTCATGGGTACTTACAACCCCAACTATAAGTGAACTTATAACCTACTTAGAGGGCTCGGGGGACTTAGGGGGCTTATGGGTACAGTTATCATTGGGGGTATAAGTACCCTGAACCACCAAGCAGGGTCTGTGCGTGCCTAAGGTGCTTCGTCAGGAACTGGGACGTCGTGCGTCTTGGCCCCAAATCCGGACCCAGACCCCTGAAAGGACCTACAAAGTCGGCATACGCCCCCCCCCCCCCCCACCCCCCCGGTTTAGTAATCCTGAAACCCTATAAACTTTGAACCCCAAAACCCTAAATCCCAAATCCTTAGCCTTGGCCCGGGAATTCAAGAAGAAAAGGAACCACAAAACCTTTCAACCATGGGGGTGTTTTGAATTGAGCCCTTTTAAGCCCTAAACCCTAAACCCTAAACTCTAAACCCTAAACCCTCCTAAACCCTAAGCATCCCAACCCTGAATAAAATTGACGAAAGCCTACGAAAACCTCAACCTCCCTAAGCCTGGAAAACCTCTCAACCCTCTAAAACCTCTACCCTCCAAACCCTAAGCTGGCTTTATGGGGTTGGGCGAAGGCCTTTCGGCTTGTTTCTTCCAGGATTCCCATGTTTATGGCTTCGGCATGCCAGAAAGAAACCTTGTCTAGTGCGGCTTTAGGCTTTAGGGTTTAGGGGCTGGGGCTTGGAGTTTAGAGTTTAGAGTTCAAGCTGCAAACAAAAGGCTGGGGCCAGGGCTTACAGGGCTTACACAGCTATACAGCAAAGGGAAGCCTCTTGTAGCCGAGAAGTTAGGGTTTAGGATATAGGGTTGAGGGTTTAGGGCTGCGTCATGGCCCAGAGTCTTCACTTTCACCACCATGCAATCGCCTTGGCCAGATCAGCTGGATTGACCCTAAACCCTAAACCCTAAACCCTAAACCCTAAACCCTAAACTCTAAAACCCTTAGGGTAGGCTCAGAAGTACTTGGAGGTTCACCCAGGCCGCTGGGACCCAGAGCCTACCCTAAGGGTTTTTGGGTTTAGGGTTTAGGGTTTAGGGTTTAGGGTTTAGGGTTTAGGGCTTAGGGTCCTAACATCAAGTTTTTACCCTATTTGGAGGTTCATGGTACTTATTAACCAGATAACTGTACTTATAACCCGCCGATAAGCCCCCTTTCGTGCCCTGGTATGGATATAAGTACAGTTACAAGTACAGTAACCCTAAACCCTAAACCCTCAACCCTCAGGCAACCGGTGTAAACCCTAAACCCTAAACCCTAAACCCTAAACCCTAAACCCTAAACCCTAAACCCTAAACCCTAAACCCTAAACCCTAAACCCTAAACCCTAGGGGGGGGGGGGGGTTATTCTGGAGATTTGAGAGTGCAAAGCCCTGAAGCACATTGACAACCCTAACCCCCCCCCCCCTCCCCCCCGCACCCGAAAAAAGACCTTAAACCCTCTCCACCCCTAAATCCTCCGGGGTTATTTAAGGGTTATTTGGGGGCTACTCAGGTCTAAAGGGACTATGTAAAGTATGTACAACTTATCCCCCTAAACTTAATCAAGGAAGTAAACCCTAAACCCTAAACCCTAAATCCTAAACCCCAAACCCTAAAGCCTAAACCCTAACCCCTAAACCCTAAACCCTTAACCCTAAACCCCAAGTCCAGGCCAAGGCGCACTCCCGGGCGTCGCAGTACTTTATCTCGCAGCTGCCCGACGATCTCTCGCAGCCGGGATGCTCCCTGTTTGTAGCGTTCAGGGTTTAGGGTTTAAGGTTCAGGGTATCGGGTTGAGGGTTTGGAGCACAATTAGGGTTTAAGCGCAGATGTTGGGGCTTGGGGTTTAGGGCTTGTGTAGGATTTATGTTGGGTTTACATCGGGTTTTAATTTGGGTGTAAGCGCGGATTTTGGGCCTGGGGTACGCAAGCTCCGCACCCTGAGTTATCCCGAAATCCGAGAAGAAAATCAAGAAAATATTCTTCCTTCTGAGGGTAATATAGGGACTATTATGTTATATTCTCCCTTATAAGGGTAATAACAGGACTATTTTTTTGCTCCAGGCCCTATCTAGGCCTGAAGCCCTTGACCCGAAACCCAAGCCGAAATCCTAAACCCTAATTCAACCCAAAACCCTAAACCCTAAACCCCAAACCCGAAATCCTAAACCCTAAACCCTAAACCCTAAACCCTAAACCCTAAACCCTGAACCCTGAACCCTGAACCCTAAACCTTCCGATTGGGCCTCGGGATCTTGGCCTCCGAAGTTCGTGGGTGCTTTGGAGGTTCAGGGTACTTCGTGACCCAATTATGACACTGAGAACCCAATTATATCAAAACTAGGGTACTTAAGGGGGGCTTATAAATGGGTTATAACTGCAGGTATAAGCAGGTTTTAAGTACCCAAGAAACTACATGCTTGTAGTCCTAGGGATTAGGGTGGTTTCTGGCCAGAAGGTCTGGGGGACTACTATAGGGCCTTGAAAAATTCGAATAGGGCTTTGGGGGTTCTGATAGTATAAATTACAAAGGCACCCATAAATAAGGGACTATTTAGTTAGTACCTATTCCGACCCCCTGACTTGGTGACTAACCCTTCCCTCCCCCGCCCGAAATTCCCCCCTCGATTCCCCCCCCTGCGCGCCGTTGCCAGCACATCAGCCGGCCATCAATCCTGGGGGGGTTGGCTGCCGGATCGGAAAAAGGGGGAAAAAGGCGAGAGAGCTTGCTTTCAGCCCTAAACCCTAAACCCTAAACCCTAAACCCTAAACCCTAAACCCTAAACCCTTAACCCTACTTGGCTTGTTGGCCGCTTGTTCGCCGGTATCCCAACCCAGTATAAGGGCCATATTCGGAGTATATGAAAGGGAGCCTGGGGTACAACCTGAGGGGTACGAGCCTTCATCCCTTGATTACTCCCTTAGGGGTTCATAAGGGGGCTTGTATTATAGGCAAAAGTTGCACGTAGGGTTGGGGTGGGGCACTTCCCAAGCAACCTTCATTCATTCGATAAGTCAGTATGGCCCCTGGCAGCCCCCTCCCTACAACCCAAACTCCAAACCCCAATCATTGAACAATTGGGGGGGCAGGGGGGCAGGGTTGTACCCCTTTGGGGAAGAGATTTGGGAAACCCCTAGACCCTAAGCCCTTATCATGTCCTAAAACCGAAGCCCTAATACCCTGAAGCCCTAAACCCTAAGACCCTAGACCCTAAACCCTAAACCCTAACATCCTAAACCCTAAACCCTAAAAAAACTGAAGCCGAGCAAAGCCAAAGGCACTCGAAAGCGATGTGGTACTCCCGGGTTTCAGCCTTTGGGGTTCGAGGGGGGTTTAGGGTTTGGGGTTTAGGGTTGCCGGGGTTTAGGGCTTAGGGTTTGGGGGTTTTTGGTTTGGGGGTGTCGGGTTTGGGGTTTGAGGCTTTCGGTTTGGGGGTTTCGGGTTCAAGGTTTGGGGCGTGGGGCTTGCGGTTTGGGGGTTTAGTAGGGTTTGGGGTTTGGGGTTGAGGGGCTCAGGATTCAGGGTGTGGGGCTTAGGGTTTTAGGAGCTTTGGGTTCGTTGTTTGGGGATTAGGGTTCGGGCGAATTACCTGACAAGGATGGGTTTGGGTTTAGGGGGGCAGGTGGGGCGACATTAGGTTTTTAAGGCTTCGGGAGCACAGGCACATAGAGGGTTCTTCTTAAATATAAAACCTCCTTAGAAGTAACTCTCCTTCATCATTGAATCCCTGCAGAAACCACTAAACATCGGACCCTGCTATAGAATAGCCCTGAACCTGGTGCCACAAGACTTCATGTGATCCTAGACTACCCCCCTCCCCCAACACCTGAGCGACGAACTCAGGCCCTTTTCGAACCCTTAAGTGAGCCTTATTTCACGCTGCATCTTTCATGTTGCGTTGCTCTTGATTGAAGGCTGCACACCGTGCACGCTACCCATGCCCCCTCTTCGCTCATGCCGTCGTTCTGCTCGCGCACGGGGCAGGAACGCTGGCCCAGTGCCAGGTTCTCCTGCAATGCCCTAAACCCTAAACCCTAAACCCTAAACCCTAAACCCTAAACCCTAAACCCTAAACCCCTAACCCTAAACCTTTCCGGGCACACGCGCCATCTGCCAAAGCCGCGGAGACGAGCGCGCCCGGCAGCTTGGGCCCGGAATCGGCACACGTTGCCTCGAAGTTCGCAGACAGGGCCTGCATGGCCCCTTGGGCCTGATGATTTTGTGCTGAGGGTAGGTTTAGGCTTTAGGGCCGAGGGTTTAGGGTTTGGGGTTTAGGGTTTAGGGTGTAGGGTTTAGGGTAGTTATGGCAGGATCCCCAACAACTGGGAACAACAGCGGGCTTTTTTCATGGTGGATGGCGTTGTAACGAACCTAGGGACTAGGGACCACCACAACCCTAAACCCTAAACCCTAAAACCTAAACCCTAAACCCCAAACCCAAGCTCTAGTAAATAAACCCTAGACCCTCAAGACCCTGCAACTTGAAGCTTCCGAACGCTCAGAAAAGAACACTTTCTGCGAAAACAGAATCCCTAAAACCTAAACCCTAAAAGAAACCGATCGTGGGGGGCGGGGGAGGTGGGGGTACAGGATCCCAGAACAAATTCTTCGGAGATGCTGGAAGCTCTGAGTCTTCACTTAGCCACCACCGGAGGCGTCTTGCCTTGCGGAGCTTCGGGTTTTGGGCCGAGGGTTTAGGGTGTACAGAGGGCTTAGGGTTCAGGGTTTAGGGTTCAGGGTATAGGGTTTAGGGTTTAGGGTATAGGGTTTAGGGTATAGGGTATAGGGTACAGGGTACAGGGTTTAGGGTTTAGGGTTCAGGGTTCAGGGTTCAGGGTTCAGGGTTTAGGGTTTAGGGTTTAGGGTTTAGGAGGTCGCCTCTCAGCCCATTGGAATGACTTCCGAGCGCTCAGGGCCCTTTGAGGGTTTCTAGACCCAAGAGGAACCCGTAAACCCTAAACCCTCAACCCTGAACCCAGGAATGAAAAAGGGCGCGCTTTGTGGCTTTACAAGGGAACCGAAACCCTAAAAAAAACAGGGAATAAGGGCCTACTCTGGGTCCTAATCCTAAACCCTAAACCCTAAACCCTAAACCCTAAACCCTAAACCCTAAACCCTAAACCCTAAACCCTAAACCCTAAACCCTAAACCCTAAACCCTGAACCCTACACCCCTAGGTTTCCGGGCTTCGGGCTCCAATTTCTGAGGGCTTCAGAGTGTAGGGTGGGCATGGAGTCTCCATAGTCAGGGGGCACAAGGGCAAGTACACCCTCCCAAAACCCCAAAACCCCAAAACCCCAAAACCCCAAAACCCCAAAACCCCAAAACCCCAAAACCCCAAAACCCTAAGCCACAAACCCCACAAGCCCTACAAGCCCTCTAGACCCTCGGTTTAGGGTTTAGGGTTTGGGGGATGGAGACGCAGCACTCCTAACTCCTAAAACAGGGTTTAGGGTTTAGTAGGGTTGAGGATCGGAATGAGTGCTTGGAGCAGGGTACGGGTGGTTTTGGGGTGCGGGGTTCCTAATCCCGAAACCCTAAGCCCTGAGCCCTAAGCCCTCAACCCTAGGTTGAGTCGAGCTTCAAGGGACAGTCTCGCGTGGGACCCCGAGATTCAAGCACACCACCCCGGCCCAATTGAGGGGGGGGGGGGGGGAGGCAAGGTCCCCAACGCCACGGCGTGCGACCCTAACCCCCCTAACCCCCCTAAATCCCCCTAACCCTAAACCCTAAACCCTAAACCCTAAACCCAAACCCTAAACCCTAAACCCTAAAACCCTAAACCCTAAACCCTAAAGCCATCGCAGGTGGCAGCGGCCTCGTGGATATCTCCGTGGATATCTCCGTGGGCATCTAGGGCCATGAGAACCTGGCCGAAAGTATTGGAAAGGGTTTTGGGGGTTTAGGGTTTAGGGTTTGGGGTTTAGGGTTTAGGGTTTAGGGTTTAGGGTTTGGGGGAGGCTGAGGGTTCACCCTAAACCCTCAGCCCTCAACCCGAACCCAAAACCCCCAAAATGCCTTGACTCAGCACCAGCCCCCCTATGCCCAAAGTCGGCAAAGCCTGAGGGGCTCTGGCTCAGGGGCTCTGCTAACATCTGGAACATTTTCACGTGTTACGAGAGGCTGATACAAGGTAACCCCCAAACCCGAACTGACCCGTGGGCCAGGGTACCCCTTTAAAGAAAGACTCAAAACTTTCAAATAACACTTACAGCTCAATCTTTCGATCAAAGCTTTCGCCCAAAACTTTCCCAAAAAGAAAAGCCCGCCAAAGCTTTCCGCCAAAAGTCCGGACACGAAGCAACAAATATTCACCCAACATGATCGCCCAAACCCCGCCCCAAAACAAACTTTTCGCCCAACACCCGCCCAAAACTCCGGACCTGAAAACTATACAATTTCTACGAACCGCAAACCCTAAACTCTGAACCCCAAACCCCAAACCCTAAACCCTAAACCCTTAAACCCAAACCCCAAACCCCAAACCCTAAACCCTAAACCCTAAACACTAAACCCTAAACCCTACAGAATGAAGGCGCGCCTTCTGCCGGCGCATGAGGCCCTTGCTGTCGAAGGCTCCACGCGAGGGGACATGGCAGGCGAACTGCACGCAAAGGGCCTCGGGGGGAGGGTTTAGGGTTTAGGGTTTAGGGTTTAGGGTTTAGGGTTTAGGGTTTAGGGTTTAGGGTTTAGGGTTTAGGGTTTAGGGTTTGGGGTTGGGGGTTTTGGGGTTTAGGGTGTAGGGCTTGGGTTCTAGGGACTGGGCTTTTGTGTGTTGGGGTTTAGGGTTCGAGGTTTGGAGTGATGCTTGGGGGATGCTTGGGGATTCTTGGGGTTTATGGTTTATGGTTTGGGGTTTTGGGTTTGTGAAGCTCCCTCTCTGTTTTTTGGCGGCTTGGGGGCTTGAACTGTCTGAAAACAGTGCCCAGTTAGGCCCTCTTGAACCCCAGAATACACAAAAGATCCGAGAGCTTAGGTTTGAGGAATTTGGGTTAGGGTCTAGGGCTCGAGTAGTTCGCTGGCAGGTTCCAGGTGGTTATAAGTGGGATTATATGTGGGACGACCGTGGAAACAGCTTGTCATCACTCGTACAGCATACAGCTACATGCAACCCTCCTGATATCACTTATGAACCTTCAAGCAATTCCTACTAAGCCCTGAACCCTCAACAAATCCCTTTTGTACTCCCTAAACCCTAAACCCCACGTACAGCGTACCCTATGTCCTTTAAACCCTACCCCAGCATCCCCTGGCTGAACCCTCCTCCACCCCCCCCCCCCCCCCCCCACTGCGCCCTTGGGGTGTGTCCCAGCGTCTGTCAGCCTAAGACCCTGGTTCATGTCCTTGCGAGTGGCAGCGACGATAGGCCAAGATCCATAATTGATAGTTCGAGGTTCGAGCTGAGCCGCGCCGACGTCTGTGCAGGCGTACGGAGCTTGTTGCGAAGACTTGCTGCCAGAGGAAGGCAGGTTTGAGGGTTTACGGGGCTTTAAGGGTTTATAGGGTTTGGGGTAACCAGCCATTCTGACACCGTTCGGATGACCTTCTGGCAAGGCGAGGGGCGAGAAATCCAGCGTGCCGAACGCCGCCATACCAACTCAT